AAAAAAAAAAAAAAAAAAAAAAAAATTTTTTTTTTTTTTTTCTTTTACTTTTTTTTACCACGTAAAAAAAAAGAAGATTTTGTTATTTTTTGATTTTCTATTGTTGATATGACTCATTCGTATTGTATAATTTGTTCCCTTGTCACATAATATAAAAGATACATTTGAGATCTTATTAAAGTCTTGTTAATCCATAATGAATATAAACTCATACAGGGATCGATTTTAATACACACATGACATGACGACTTGCTATAATGTCGTGAAAAATTAAAGTTTATTTGCACATGCGCTTGGGAAACTAATGAAGCATATTCTAGCATTTATTATGATTACACCAAACCGTATCAGCTTGATTGATTAACCTGATTATAATAATAAAAAAACGGAATTTAAAAAATGCCGAAACGTGAATACTAATACGCCTTTCGCTTTATTTTAATACCGAAATATAAGAATGAATAAAAGTAATATTACTATTAGAATGATCCACCGGATAAATCGGTTTAAATGTTTTTAAAATTGCTTAAATGAAATACCGTAAATGAAAAAAAATATTTTTTTTTGTATGTATGCTAATAATGAATTTTCTTTGCGTATCCTTGAACCATTCTTTATCATTCAAATAATGAAATTTGTGGTAAAACATAATCAACGTATTACCATTATTACCCGTGTTACACGCATTACCCTTTAATTTTAATGGGTTCTTGATTATGTCATCTTAACAACAACAATGGGAATATTCCCGTATTCCCGTGTATACATGTGATTGATGGTATTAGGATTACAACGGGATGATTTTTACCGCAGGGTCGGATCTCGGAATGTATTATCTGTACATTTTAAGACTAGTTTCATTCAAACAATGAAAGAATCCCATTTTTCTCAGGGTCGGAAATTCGGAGTTAATTTAGGGTAAACATTAGTCAATTTAGGGTAAACATTAAGTTGTTAAAGGAAATCATTTATATAATGAGATCAAGACAATATATGAATGAATGATAAAAAAGTGATTTCTAAGAAGAATACTGATATATCACAAAAATTAGAAACATTTCTGTATGTACCTTATTACCTAATAAATATATTTTTATTCAGACAATAAAATTCTGACATCATTCGGATCATTTTTTTAATCATTTTAGTAAAAAATCATCAAATATGATTTAATAATAATCAGATGAAAGCTAACCTTTAATTGAATTTATTGTTGTATTATTGTATTTATTGTATTGATTGTATTATGATGTATTTATTATGTTAAACCCCAGAATTTTACCTCAATAACATTTATAGTTCAATTTTATTCCTCAATAAAATTAATTAATTAAATTAATTGGTTAATATATCGGTTGGTATATTATCAGTTATAATATAAGTTGGTTTATATTATCATCCGTTGGTTTATATATATATATATTATCATCAGTTGGTTTATATATATATATATTATCATCAGTTGGTTTTATATATATATATCCTGAACTTATTTAGCCGGTATATATATATATCTTGAACTTATTTAACTTATTTAGTACATATATTCCTTTATATATATATCGTGAACTTATTTAGTATATATTTTCCTTTTTTTTTTTAAACTTGAATTGATGTACAAAAAATTTTTGATTGGATGATAAAATTTTTATTATTTTTTATCAGTTTTTTATTCTTAAACCTATTTAAGTATACATTTTCTTGTAATAGAAAAGTGTACTTTTTTAACACGTTGAAAGATCCTAATATGATTGGATGGTAATAATATGATTTACTGTATTTATTTATTCAATGATTAAATTTTTTTTTTTTTTTGAACCTATTTAGATATTTCCTGTTAATAGAAATGATTTTTTTACACGTTTAATATTTCTAAATACGGAATAAATACGGAATACGGAATACAGATGATTTATTTAGTGTACTTCAATCATTAAGTTTACTTCAATCATTTAGTTTATCTTCAATCATTCCGTTTTATTATTGGATTACGCTAATAATATTTGATATGTTAAGTTTACTTCAATCATTAAGTTATTCCAATCATTTTAATCATTTTAATCATTTTCGAATTTCGATCTTTAATCTTCTGAACAAAATGAACAAAATGAACAAAATGAGAATCTATTTAAGTATATGTTTTCTATTTCTGACTTTCTGTAATTAGAAATGATTCTTTGCACATTGAAAATTTCTAAATCTAGAATTGAAAGAATTGAAAGAACAATATGTTCACAAATGTTCACAAGTTTGATTGATCGGAGTTCGTTATTATTTAAACAAATCTGAACATGTTATATAATGAATCGTAACATATTAAGTAAATAAATCGGGACATGTTATTAGGATAAATCGGGACATATTATTAGCGTAATCTCAGTGATAAATCGGACATGTTATTAGCGTAATCCGGTGTTATTAGCGAAATCCCAGTGATAAATCGTAGCGTAATCCGGTGATAAATCGACGTAATCCAGTGATGAATCGAACATGAGGCCATATAAAATCATGTGATCATACATGCCTATATGGACTATATGGAATACATTAGCATAATTTTGGCCAGAATTATAAGTATGTATTTAATAATTCTAGTCAGAAAATTATTTCCATTTTAGATGCTGGCTATCATTATTATAACTCCGGCCTTGAAAGATACGCACTTTGAACTCAGGGTCCTTATTAAATATATCCTAAAAGAAAAATATTCCGAACTTGGCAAATCAATCTAATCATGATTTGGTTTTTTCTATCTTTTTTTTTTTTTTTTAATGATCCCAAATCGTGTTATTATACTAGTTTTTTTTAATTATAAAATTATAAATAATATTTGCTGACGGGAGTACCAAATTTATGCCAAGAATATTCCAAACGGGATCATTCCGCGATTGGCACGAAAAAAAATGCCTCAAAAACTTTGATAAATTTATACTTGGATAAATTTAAACCAAATGTAGCAAAATTACGTTCGGAGTTCGGCCGATAACCTTCTTTTTAACGCCATAATCAAAAAAGTAACAAAAAAGAAAAAATACATAAGTGATTAGTAATATATCATTACCATAAAACTTTATTATTTTATTATTTTATCATTTTTATTATTACTATTTTATTTCTCTTAAATTCCTTTTTAAGTGATTTCATTTAAAAAAAAAAGAAAAAAAGAATAGTTATAAGATTATTATAAAAAAGTACAATAAGCGTTTTTTTTTTTTTTTTATCATGTGTATCATGTGTTGTGTACAAAAAATATCTTTTCTTTTACTAAAAATAATTGATCGGTGTTGTTTATTCATATGATAGATTATCACACCAATCATGATCCTTGGATTTACATTTGGTATCGTTATTATGGACCACACTTTGACCAACAATTGGACCAACTGACCGACGAAAAAAATATTGTCGTGTGACCCTCAATTTTAATTTTATCATTTATTGTTTATCATTTTGATTAACAATAATACACATTTTGAACACGATATTGCCAATTATGGTAACATAATGTTATTATTGTATATTATTGTATTTAATTGTTATTGAAAAACTAAAAAAATTCTACCGTTTCATTCTTTACGATATTTTCTAAAATCGAATGATTACTTATTATTACTATTATTATTACTATTATTATTATTATATTAGGATATTATTATTATTAGTATTAGATATTATTATTATTAGTATTAGGATATTATTATTTATATCTACTCTACTATTACTTACATTATTTATTAAACATAATATATATATAATATATATTTAAAATATTATTACATGTATAGCTAATTACTTTTTCTAAAAAATTTTATTATAAATTTATATTATAATTAATGATAAAAATGATAGGATTCCCGTCCATTTTTATCCCGAATTCTCATATACTTCCGTCCCGAATCCCGTTATGAAATTTTTTCATCCCGAATTCACTTATTAAAATACTTCCGTCTCGAATTCGAATTCTATTACAGAATACTTTTTTTATAACATCAATTATAATATATTTGACTCATTCTAGACTAGTACTATAAATTCCGTTATGAAATACTTTCCGACCGAATTCCGTTATACTATCCATCCCGAATTCCGATATGAAATATATTTAACTTATCATTCTAGACCTTTTTTTTCCTAGTTATCCGTTATGAACATAATTATAGATTAAATTAATTCTATTTACTATAAATATATTTTTAATTCCGATATTTTTACCACCTTTTTATAATCATTGATAAAAGAACGTATTCAATTGGATGTAAAAAATGATGAGAGAAAAAAACAAAGGTAATAAATATAATATCAAGTTAATAATAACACTAATAATAAAATTAAACAAACAAAAATAATATTAATTAACTATCTTATTATATGTTATCGGCATTTCCATTTTAATACGATTAATAATAAATAATCGTCCATTCATGCCAAATATACTACGGGGACTTAATAAATTTCCGTAATATACAGTAATAGTCAAAATTTATGTATTGTAGATCTAAAAAAAAAAAGACATTTTAGAAAAAAAAAAAAAAAAAAAAAAAAAAATTTTTAATGAAAAAAAAAAGAAAGTAAATCTATGAAATTGTACAATAATGCATTTACAACCAAAACAAGCATAACAAATAAAACCGTAAATTAAATAATCCATAATTTTAATAATCCTTCTCAAAATTTTTTTATTGGTGTTTTAAAGAATTGAGTTTATAAAAATAATCCATTTTTGATTCTCCCGTGTGACATTATGTACATGTTGTAAGTTGAACCGAGCAGACAGACTGTTTAAAGAATGTGAGGATCATCAATTAAAACATTTTTCAATTCACGACTAATAAGGTTTATTATAGAGAAGAAATTTCTGTAATAATTTCATTCATTTTTATTTAAGGCAGTTTTTTTTTATAGTTGTATTGTACCAGGATTCTTAATGTATAATTAATCCGACTAATTTAAATAAATACGCAGGTCAAACCTCGTGGTATGAAACATATCTTTCAAATAATAAATCGAACTTTTTTATTGTATACAGTGATAATACCCATTTTAAGAAACTTTGCAATACTTTGTCATTAGTAAACATAAATATTAAAAGGAAAAATAAAAAAAAAAGTACCACTTAAAAAAAAATATTTCTTCCTTTCCCATTTTTCTTCCTTTTCTCTTCATTTTCTCTTCTCTTCTTTACTTTCCTTTAAATTTTTTTTTTTTTTCTTTTAGAAAATATTTTTTTTTATTAATGACCACATCATCACATTCATATTCTAGTTCTGGTGATAGTTGTAGCGAAAGAAGTGGAATGCGTACGAGCGGTACAAGTGTATTATCTTCTACTTCTAATTTCACCATTTCAAGTACGATAACCTCTCAGGTAAAATTAATAATATCATTAGGAAAAAAAAAAATAAAATAAAATTCCATCAATTAAATAATTAAATTAATAATGTCATTATTATTTTTTATTTTTTTTTTTTTTTTAGTCGGTATCAACAAAATTTTTCATACCAAGTTCAAGTATATCCACATTTGGAGAATATCAAATAGAACATATAGATACGGAATCAATATGGTATCGAAAATATTTTATTCATAAAAAACATCCTACATTCGTGGGAAATGTCGAACCATTCGGTCCAGTCATTATTTCAATAGCATTGGATTGTAAAACTATAAATAATAATCGTGATGCTGTATATTGGTATAGATATATTTTACGTCATAAAGATCTACCTGATGATCGAGGTTTGTTAGTAGGACCTCCACAAACTCCTCTAAGTGATCCTCCATGGGATGTATTATTAAGGAGGATTTCAAGAGAATTTGCTCAATCGAAATTAACAAAATTAATAACAACTCCTGAATTATCTGAGGAATTGCTTTCATTAGATGAAAATAGATTACAAAAAGCTTATAAAATTGGTTTATTATATTGTGCTCCATTACAAACGACTGAAGAAGAATGGTTTTCAAATACTACAACTTCAATATCTTTTACTAATTTTTTGGAATTATTGGGAACAAAGGTTAGATTATTGGGATTTAAAGGATTTAGTGGTGGGTTAGATACAAATTTGGATGGTACAGGGGAATATTCTATTCATGATGATAAAACTTTTAAAGATTATGAAATAATGTATCATGTAAGCACTATGCTTCCATATGAGAAATCAAATAGATATCAAATAACAAGAAAACGTCATATTGGAAATGATATTGTTTGTATAATATTTCAGGATGAACCAAAACCTTTTTCACCTTTCGCTATTCGTTCACAATTCTTACATGTTTACGTGATTGTCAGTCCTGTAAAATGTAAAGTTGATAGTTATCATGTAGAGGTAGTATGTAAAAATGGTGTACCTTATTTTGGTCCACCTTTACCGAATCCTCCAATATTTGATGATCCAATTTCATTGAAAAAATTCTTAGTCGCTACTGTCATAAACGGTCAAAATGCGGCTTGGAAAACTCCAAAATTATCCGATCCATTCTATAGAGCTCGTGGTGGTATAATACGTGATATAGTGAATAAATCCATTCCACGTATGAATATGGATATTTTATTGACACCTCCACAATCTCCTAAAAAATTATCTCAAGATGAATTAAATTCTATATTAAAGGGATTATTCGTGGATCAATTAAAATACAAAGGAAAACCTCCTGATATTTCATTAGTAAAAGATCTACTTGAAAAAGGTGCAAATCCAAATATTAGGATACCTCAACCTAAACCATTAAAAGAATCAAGCGCTTCATCATCAAATGACAATCTTGACGATTCATATTTTTCCAGTACATTACCAACACCATCATCAACAACCTCGTCATCATTACCTTCATCATCATTATCACAGTACTCATCGTTCAAACTTCCAAATATATTGTTTGCCACAATAGCATTAACAGATGATCCAATTTATGTAAAATTTTTGATAAATTATGGAGTAGAAACGATGCCAAAAGATAATCATTTTCCAAACGCGTTTGTATTTTCTGCCACTTATAAACGTGTGGAAACCATGAGATGTTTATTAGAGAATATACCAGCTTTATCTGATCCAAAATCTGTTGATACTGCAATCAATGATACTTATAATAGCGTTTATTCAAAAAATACTCAAAATAATGTTCTTAATGGGTATGGAACTTATGGTAATAGAATTTGGTATAATTTTACTAAATTTAAAAATCAAATCAGGGGGAAATAATATATATTCGTATACAAATACAATATACAGTATATAGTATTTCTCTTTTTTCTTTTCTTTTCAATTACATATATATATATATATATATATTTTATCATTTACTTTTAAAATTTTATTATCATTTATTATTTAAAATCTAAAACTCAAAAAAAAAAGTTCTTTTTGTTTTTTATTTTTCAAAATTTTACCTTTCAAAATTTTTACTTTCAAAATTTTTACTTTCAAATATAAAAAAACATACCATTATATGTAAATACATGTTTTTTTAACAGTCCAAGGTCATGGTAATAAAATTTAAAATTGTAGTTTGTGATCATTTATTTCGTTTATTGCAAATTTTTTGCATATATTCTTTACTTGAATGCGATTTTTAATAATAATTTATAATAATTTAGAAATTTTTTTTAAAGCTCAGAGAGCTCGAGTGTTGTGTTGTGTTATTTGAGTTACTAGGTCTCTTCTCGAATTACGGTGGTCTCTAGTGGCAGTGATGTGAGTCATAAATTCTCAAACAATAAAGACTGGAATCATCGGAAATTTAAAAAAGAGAATGTTTAAATTATTATTTACGCGTTTCAAAATTTTTTTTTTTCCCCGTTTCAAAGTTCGTGACGTAATAAATCATATGTAATCACATATTATGATATATATTTCCCGGGTTTAACTGTGGGTAAATTAAGTCAAGAAATGAAGCATCAACTCACAAGTGTACTAGTGTTAAAAAAATCGAAACGCCAAAAGGCATATACCGCAGTATTCTTATCCTTTAATTATGCCTAATTATTTCGTGACGAAAGCATGTTACAATTAAATTAAACAAAAAAATATGTGTTTGTAAATGCAATATCTCATGATGTTTGCATAAAAGATGATCTGTGGACGCACTCGCACTAATCGTTTCGTTCTCTCTTGTTTTCTTTTTGTCCTTTGTCTTATATAAATGGTGAGTTGGTAACTTTGAATGACGCAATTGAATGCACTCATCAGTGACTCATTACTATTTACTAAAAAAGAAAAAAAAATAATTATATTTTTTTAAGAATGCAACCATTTTAAATGAAAATTTTCCGAAAGTAATTAAATATTTTACAAATCTGATAAATGGTAAATGATAATATATTCTAGAGATGTACTTTGTACGGTGATATGTGAAGAAGACACTTTTTAAACTTCTAATCAATCCTGAAAATCACGAGAGTTTTACAAAAAAAAAAAAAAAAAGATACGATAAAAAGTAAATAAATAATAAATATTTATCTGTTATGTGTTCTTTTTGATACAAGTATAACTTAACTAGTCTGAGCGCATTGCATATGCTGTACTTTCGCCAACTTTTAGGCTTTTATCATCTATATATATATTTACATGTATTAATTATTTATATTTATAAATATTTTATTATGTTAAAAACGTTAATTAATATAACGTTATTTTTAATTTTTGATGCAAAAAGGAATTCCCTTTGCATTAAGTTTTGCATTAAGTTTAAGTTAACGTTTCATACCTATAAAACCATTAGAAGTAATTGCTTTTTTTTTTTTTT